CCATGTACATCTGCTGCGACTCGGCACCGGTTCTGAATTTGCAAACTGAAAGGAATAACTTCGGCAGCGTGCTGGGGAGCCAGTTTGTGCAGGGCATGAAAGCGGCCGATAACGTTCGGGCACGCTGTCAAATTCTGCAACATCTTGACCACCACCTTGGCATCCTGGTGGCTGAGCGGCGCCATTGTCTCCTGCTTGTGGCGCTTCTCTTGATTGTCCCAGCGCAAGTACGGGTAGGCCGGGGCAGTTTCCAGGTCCTGTACCAGGCCCAATTCTCGAGCCCGCCTCAAATCTTGGTCCTCCTCCATGGCCTCGATCTTGTGGTAGAGGACTTCCAGGAAGGAATGCAGGAGCACAACGCGTAGCGGCTGGGTGAGGGTCTCGGGGGCTTGTTCTTTCTGCTGGTTCCACTCCTGTGCTACCCGGTAGAGGTTCGCAGTCAGGGACCAACCCTTGTGATCGGCTACCGTCCCGATGAACATGATGAACTGCGTGTCGAGGCTGGCTATGGTCTGGGAGTCCTCCAACCTTAAAACCAACCTTCCCATCTGCTTCACCAGCTCCTTGAGGTCCTCGTCCCCGTCTCGGTCGCGACGGCCCTGCCTTTGGCTTTGCCCGCGGCGTGCGCCCCACCATCCCTGGCTTCCCCACTTTCCGGTCTCGCGGGCTGGGCTGCGCCTGTTGCGATCGGGCTTGGCCAAGTCTGTGGAGCCAGTGCCCGGGTCGTTCGTCTTGTTGGCCTCCTCCTGGTCCGGCTCCCCGAGCTTCTGGTTCGCTGCCAGGGACTGTCCCTTCCCCGTGGGGGCCGAGGCAAACGACAGTTGTTTGTCGCCCTTGTTCTCCCCCTTGGCGAACTTGGTCGGGTTCTCCGGCCTGTGGTGGTCTGCGCTCCTCTTGTCCCGGTCGAGCTCCATGTCCGTCCCCGCTTCGGATGGGGGAGCCGTTGTTGCTGGTGTCCTGGAGTGCAGCGCCGAGAACTGAGCCAGCTCTGCGCGGGCTTCCAGCAGCTGTTGGTCTGCTTGAGCTGCCATAGGGAAGTCGGGACTGACCTGGATCAAGGAGGGTGCCGTGTCTAGCTATAAGGTGAAGGCTTACCCACAGCACTGGGCATGCTTGTAGGTGTGCTTTGGGCCTGGCCTGGTACCAGGCCTCGCAAAACTCACAAGGGCGCTGCAGCCTGCTCCGTTGCTTGAGCCACTCCTTAACAATCGGTTGCAGCGCTTTAACCTGCGGATGAGATTGCACTGCATGGCGTGCTAGGTACGATGGCTTGGCCACCCACTGATAGCATTCCGGGCAATGTTGCATAGAGCACTGTTGTCGAACTTGCTGGGACAACTTCAGTACATCTCCCTGTTTAGCAAGCTGCTGCAAGGCTTTGCGCTGAAAAGCAGGCTGTTCCTGGGTTTGTGACTCCGGTTGTTCGGTCGAGGCTGGCAGTTCTTCCGGCGCGGGCGCCCTATTAGCAAAGAACTGCTGGGAAATAGTTGTTGCCTCCGACCCGTCTTGCGGGGTCAGGTCTTCAAGCACAAGAAAAGGGCAGGCTCTCTGAGAAATGTGGCCCATGAATTCTGGCCAGGCGTGAAAACACTTGAGGCACAGTCGGCACTGCGGTAGGCCGTTCAAGGAATAGGAGCGATATGCATCACGACGTTTGTTCTTAAAGGCTGTGTTTCTTGATTTGGCAGGCTGTTTGTCCGGGTGGGATTTGCCAATGTGCACTCGCAGTGCGTGCGTGCTGGGAAAACGTTGGTCACAGTGCGGGCAGTGGCATTGAATTTTGACTACCAGCGAAACCTCCGTTAACTTGACTGGTCCTGCGTTGCTGCTGCTGCTGTGTAGCCGAAAGGTTGACAGTAGCAGGTCCCACCACTGGGTAACTACCTCAGGCTGGATGTGTGACATGTGAGGCTTACAAAGAGAGATTCTTTTGGACGCCAGTGTTGAGAGGGCCTCAAGCGGGTTCGGGCAGCCTAATCTGGTCAACAGTTGTTGGTTGGTCTCGTGCGATACATGAGCTGGACTTCGTCCGACAGTGCGGAGTTGTTTCAGCAGCTGCCCTTCAAACTTGGCTGCACTTACGGCGTCAATGCCCGTGGCTGAAATGCCGTACCTGGCTATGGCCCATACGCAAGTCTTCCACAATGTAAGGCGCTTGGAGAGTGGTATAACAGGATTCTTTAGGAAGGGGTGGAGGCGGTGGAATGCTACCCAGGCCTGATTGAGTCTCTATTTGACAGTTTCTCGTTCAAACAAGCCGTATCCGATTTTCACCCCTAGATACACATGGGAAGACTTGATGGGCAGGCACAGTTCACCGCTCGGGTGCTGGACGATCAGCATTCGGCCCTGGGGTCTGCGGCATGTATAGGTCTTCAGTAGCTGGGCTGCTTCTCTACCTTTAATGCAAAGGAGGATGACAGTTTTGCTGACCGATACTTCCATGCCTAGTGTGTCAAGGTCTGCGATGATACGAGGCAAAGTGTGACATGCCGCCTTGAACTCTCGCGAATGGCTGAAGCTCCATTGAACGTGGAAATCATCTGCGTAGCTAGTAATGCTGCCTGCTGGCAAATATGTGGACAGCTGATCATGCACCAGAATGGTAAAACAGATCCACAGCAGTGGAGACAGTCCGCATCCTTGGCGGATGCCTCGGCCCATGCCTACCCTCGCTCTCTCCTGAAAACGTTCAATGACCAAGCAGGCATTGTCGTGAATGGTGAGGATTAGCGCTATGAGGTCTGGGTCTGCATGGACGCGACGCAGGGCTGCGACGAGCGTGGTGCGCGGAAGCCGGTCGTAGGCTTTTGCCAGGTCTAATGAGAGCTGCATACCGCCTACAAAGCCTGTGTTAGCTGTGCGCTGCTGTTTATGGAATAAGGAGTTCTGGTAGGCCTTTACGGAGCTACGGATTGTGCTGCAATGGGCCGCTACCCTGTCTATGGCATCAGCGGCCTGACGACCGGCTGTATATGCGAATTGTGGGATGGCCTGGATTGCTTGCTCAACATAGCCACGCAATCTCTCAGCCGCCAATCGGGCTAGGAGTTTGGACATGCACGGCAATAAACTTATTGGGCGCAGGTTGGCAGGCTTACATGGTGGTTTTCCCGGCTTGGGGAGCAGGGCCATATAGGAGTCATGCCAGTTCGGGTCAAGCTGAACCTGGGAACCTGACATGGCCTGATTGAGCTGTTGTGCTACAGTATCCACCAGTAAATCTGCCGACAATCGCCAAAGAATGGCCGGGGCATGGCCTGGAGGCAAGGCTTTGCGAGAGGACAGGGCATTGAGCGCTTGTTCCACTTCTTGATGGCTGAAGCGGATGGGTGACCGCAGGGGGTGGTTCCGTTTGTGCTGGTCATCGGACTGGTACAACTCTGAAAAGAATGTACGAAGTTGTTCCAGTTCTTCTTGTGCCATCAAAAGGTGTCCCTGTGCATCACGGAAATGTATCGTTCGTTTCGACGTCTTAGGGCGTAGGCGGTTCATCAGGGAGTACATGCCTGATAGATTGTTGCCCCCGCTTTTCATAGCTTCACTGATGAGGTCATCAACTTGTTGAAGCTTCTTCTGCCTTGCCCGACGTCGAAACTCTTTGTCCTGTTTGGCAAAAGCGGTTGCAGCCCGCCACACAGACAAAAGTGGCCGAAGGTTGAGCAGCGCCGTTGGGCGAAGCCGCAGTATGATGCTGGAAGGTCTATCTAGAATAGACATGACTAGTGGCGCCATATACGTCCTACATTGCATTTGGGCCGTCCTAAAGGCTCGCTTGGCTTCCCAGAAGTTTTTCAAGCAAACTGGGGCGGTTGGGCGGCTTCCAGGGGCTGTAGGTTTTGTTGGCGGCTGGTGGGTCAAAGCCTGTCGGGTGCTCAGCTGCCAGGCTTGGGTAAGACATTCATTCATTGATGTCTCCATACTGCTGTATGGTTTCACTCACTATGTGACGAAAAACTCGCACTACCGAGGGCTGTCGTTGAACTGTCTGCCTGGCCGAGTGCGCTGTGAGGTGCACAGGTTTGGAGTTGGTTGGGATCGTAGGGGAGCTAAACCAACATTCAACCGGGATGTGTCTAAAACCTGACGGATGGGTCAGTGTACAGTGCCGCAACGGCGTGGCAGATGGACTCTGCGACGAGTCGGGCTGTCTGCTGAGGACAAAGTCCAGTTGCAATGGCGGACCCTGTGGCTGCAGAAAAGTGGCTGCTCGGGGCCCCTTGTGCGTCCAAGTGTTTACTGCTTTTAGGCCTAAGGAGGTTACCAGGCTTTGGAAGACATGCTGGTCTTTGTGGGAGTTTTTGGCATGGGCAGCTACACCTTGACCTACGTAGGGCGGTTGAGGGCGTAGGGTGGCGTTGGCATCGCCTGCTATGAGAAGCTGGTTGCGGCGTGGAACCGCTCGCACCCACTTTCGCATAGATTCCCAAAAGTCCGCGCGACTTTGCAGCAGCTGCTGGACACGTTCCTCGGAACTGCCCGTCCATTGTTTCAGACCTGGGTCCCAAGCGTGTTGGTACATGCCCAACAGGTCAATGGCAGGCTGGGTCTCCAGGCGTAGATGTGCTAGTCTACCTGGTATTAGTTCAGAGTAACGTATTTGCTCTTTGTTGAAAGTTTTCTTACTCAACATGAACAAGATCCCCCCTTGGGATGAGTTACTGCCGGAATGAGCACAGAACCAATGTGCAAGTTCAAACTCCGAGCTAGAAGGCCAATGACTTTCCTGAATGACCATGATGTCAGGAGTTTCTTCAGGTTTGTGGGATGCGGCCCATTCCGTGAGTTCTGCGAACCGGGTGGCATGTAGGCCTCCACTGTTCCAGGAGACTAGGCGTAGTTGTTTTGAGGCCGGGGTTGTATTACGCTGGGGCCGGGGCTTACGGGATGGGCGAGGTACCGTCGGAAGCTCCAGAGTTGAAGCGGGGCGGCTCAGCACGGGGTTGCGCATGGTGCTATTTTGGCTAGCCTGGAGGTCTGCTACAGCGTGATATCTGCCTCTATAAACTGTGCCATGGCCATCCCGTAGGGCTCTACGCTGTGCTCTCCAAAAGGAGCGTTTGCCAGAGGCCGTGCTCAGCGTCAAGCCACTGCCTCGTGCAGATCCGGGTGCTGTCGGGCTAGGATGAAGACTCTGGGGCCGGCCTACGCCTAGGGAACACCAGGGGAGAGAAGCGGATAGAACCCAAAAGAACCATAAGGCAAGGCGGGAACTGGGGCCGGGCATAGTGTGCTTCTGCGGGCAGGACTGGTGTAGTCCAGAGCACACTTGGCCTTGCGTGACGCTTGTACGAATTAGATGCATGCGGCAGGGCTCACAGGCCGTGAGGCGGCGGCGGTACGTTCCTGGCCGCAGTCGGCAAACTAACCACTGTCGGGTTGGCTTGGAAGGTCTCCAGCCACAGGCACTCAAGATCAAGATTGACAGGACTATAAGAACCTGAAACAGCCTGGGTTGACCTGCAGGAGGATCTAGATTGTAAGCCGTAGGGCTTTTCGAAGGATGCTGTGTCCTTTGGAAATGGGGGTGAAACTGAAAATTCGCAGCGACTATGGTCCGATTCGGGTGCGGAGTACTGTTAGCTTTGCCAAACGTACTGTAAAAAGGTGGGTCGTTAAGCTTCGCTATGAAGTGGAGCTTGAAGGAGGGGCAGGTGTTGCTAGCTTCAGGAGATGCTCGACCAAGCTGATCTCCAACCCTCACGTCTGCCCACAAAAACAAGTCAGCAAGTCCTGTGGATGTCTCATGCTGTCGTCGCGCTGACCAGTTCTGCGAGCCCCTGGACTTGGGACCAGGGCAGTCCGGCGTTGTAATCCAGCCTGCAGATTCATGACGGCGGTGGCGGCGGCACGGGATCCGCGGATCCTCTCGGTAAAGCGTTGCGGTCAACTTCCTCTCCAGTCTCATCCATCCGGGCCAGGGCCGCTGCTGAAGGTGGCAAGGAGAGGTATTGATTCCACTCATAGTCCTGAAACCACTGTTGGAACTGCAATTGTTCCTCCGCTGTGAGCCAAGGAAACATCGCCGTAAGGAAGTCTTGGTACCACAGGGACGTAGCCATGTTGGTGAAGGTGTCTGCAGCTTCCAGGGCCAATGGCTCCGGGAGGCGTTGTCGTAGCCTCTCCAGGACATGGGGGCGCAACTGCTGTTGAAGGCGCTGCTTGTCCGGACAATGTTGGTTGCCCGTGGTAAGAATCCAGGCTCTGTCGTTTCTAGCAGGGCGTCGCTGTAAGAGCTCTTTGAGCCAGCTGAAGTTGTCGCGCAGAGTTTCGGCCGTCGTGGCATCCAAATGTGCCATCGTTCTGTCCAAAACTGCCTCTGCCGGCAATTCGTGCTGGGTCCTGCCCCAGGCAGCCACAGTAGAGGATATGGACCGCTGTGGTTGTCGCAATACCTCTTCCATGTACAGCCTTCTAGTCTGCCAGCAGAAAAATCTGAGGACAGTATTTTGGAGCCAGGCCAGGGATCTGCGGCTATGCTCCGTGAGCTCGAGCCGCGTATCACTGATATCTTCCAAAGCAGCAAGGGACCGTTGAGGAGGATGAGGTGGGCCAGCCATAGAATAATAAAGAGGCTGCTCCACTTGCTCGCTGGTCCCCGAGGAAGAGCTGGAGGATCCCGACCGTGGCATATGCCACCGCACATGGGCGAACTCGTAGGCCCGTTGAATGCTTCGGCTCGGACCGAGACGCTTGATATATATATATATATACACATATATGTGCCCGATACCTTTAGG